TGGTGACAAGACCTTTTGTTTAATACCAACAATTTTGACCTTTAGATGTTGACTTTGGAGATTGACCTTCTTTTAATTAACTTTAACCTTGGCTATAACTTTTGAACTGTAAGGGCTAGGGTTTTCATACTTCACAAATGTAATCCTTATTACAATGACCTTTCATTGGATACCAACAACTTTGGCCCTTTGACCTTGACCTTTGCGTTTAACGTAATTATTAAAAACCTTAACCTTGGCAATGAATTTTGAAGGGTTAAGGCTTGGGTTTTCATTCTTCCCATATTAATCTTTGTGACAAGGTCTTTCTTCAGAAACCTTGACCCTTTGGTCGTGACACCGGATTTTGACCTAAAAACGTTAACCTTAGCCATAACTTTTGATCAGGTGGTGCTAGGGTTTTATATTTCACATTTGTAGTTCTTGTGAGAAGGCCTTATTTTGGGTATCAACATGTTTGATTTGCATTTGAGAAAATTTTTATAACCATTGCTATGTTGCCAATCGGCGGCACCAGTGTTTCAGAAACACATCTTGTTATTTCGGAAATTGCTTGAACTATACTTAAATCGATTAGATGTTGTTTTATGTTTAGTATTGTAACAATTACAGTGGATTTCATTTTTTTCCGCAGGGAATGTTAAGTGATTTATTTAAGTGTAGCGTGAGCCGACATCAAGTTAGCCTTACATTCTTCGATTGCTTTAATCTGAATGACATACTATGAGTGTGAAACAAGATGTGTTTTTAAAACACTGATGCCCCCGTATGGCAACATAGGTTAAGCTTTCTCAAATTCAGATCAAATATGTAGGCACCTTAAGTAGAGCCTTTTCACAAGAAATACAAATATGAAATATAAAACACAAGCACCACCTGTTCAAGGGTTATGACCAAGGTTAACATTTTTAAAGGTAGGACAAACTCCGAGGTCAAGGTCAAAGGGTCAAGGTTGTTGGTTTCTAAAGAAAGGCCTTGTCTCAAAGATTACATATGGAAAGTATGAAAGCACTGGCCCTTACCGTTCAAAAGTTATGACTATGGTTAAAGTTTGTAAATAGTAGGTCAAATTCCAAAGTCAAGGTCATAGGGTCAAAGTTGTTGATATCCAATGAAAAGTTTTCTCACAAGGATTACATATTTGAAGTATAAAAGCCCTAGCCCTTACCATTCAAAAGTTATGACCATGGTTAAAGTTTTTTTGTAAGTACGTAAATCTCCAAGGTCAAGGTCAAAAGGTCAAAAGTGTTGGTTTGAATTGAAAGGCCTTGCCAAAAAGAATTGATATCTGAAACATGAAATTCCTAGTATTTACCGTTTAAAAATTAGGGCTAAAGTAAAAGTTTGTAATTTTTTGTAAAAAAGTGGGTAAAACTCCAAGGTCAAAGAGTCAAGGTTTTAGATATAAAATGAAAGGTCTTGTCACAAAAATATAATATGTGAAGTATGAAAGCCCTAGTCCGAACTTTTCAAAAATTATGGTCTAGGTTGTATTTCTAAAGTAGTTCAAATTCCATGGTCAAGGTCAAAGAATCAAGGTTCTTGGTATCCAATAAAGGAAATTCTTACAAGGATTACATATGTGAGGTATGAAAACCCTAGCACTTACTATTCAAAAGTAATTGCCATGGTTAAATTTTTTTTTAGAAGTACAAAAATCTCCAACGTCAAGGTCAAAAGGTCAATTTTGGGGGTACCTAAAGAAAGGTCTTGTCACAAGGAATACACATGTAAAATATGAATGTCATAGCTCCACTAAATCAAAAGTAATGCACAAGGTTAAAGTTTTTGCGGACAAACAGACAGAGAGACAGACAGACAAACAGACAGCTAGGCAGACAGACGGACACGAGTTTACGGGGGCATAAAAATATCAGTCGCAATCGGTGGCTCATATGATAATGATATTTTGTCCCTTCCGTGTTTCGTTACATTAATCTTTATATACATCACATGAGGATATATTGTGATAGGTGAATCATGTGAAAGCTATATTCATACGTGCATAATCTGTAAGTAAGTAAAATTGTAAGTATATTAGCAATTAGTTTTTTTTGCAGTATAGTGTTCAACCAAGCGAGATATGTTTCGGGTAATCTTGACTCATCTACATGTATTTGCGTAACTGCGTCTTCTCGGGGGAGGGGGTGGGAAACATTATATTATTTATATTCCCATGCTCTTATTTGAGAGAATATTAATTTTGAAGATGACCAGAAACAAGGATAAAAAAGAAGTTTTATTTCTCAGGGAGAGAGTGGCTGAGGTACCATCAGTCAAGATCGAAGAATTTTTTTTCTCAAACAAAATATTTTAAGGACAGATTATTTATTTGCTATCTGCCGGCTCTCCCTTTTCATCTAAATGGCTTTCCTTTAACATTTCTACTCTAAATCCATTCATTACTTTCAAATGAAAGTACAATAAACAACAAACACACCATTTGGACATAGCAACGACACGCAGCAGCTTTATTTGTACAGTGTACATAACGTATGTGAAATATGAAAATCAATTTTTCTATACATGTTTAAGTTGGATTGAATAAATCATGATAAAATTTAAACTTTATCGTGCTCTACGTGTCGTCCTAAACTGGCATTTTAGACCACTATTCACCTCTTATATAGCCTTGCTAATGAGACCGCGGATCTAAAGAACCACGGGATATTCACCAGGTATTCGTATGAAAACCTTGCAATTCCGAAAAACGTAATTCATTATCACACCGATTAGAAATTGATTTCTGTCTGATCCGTTCCTCAAACGAAAGAAATCATATATATACGCAAATATGCCAACATAAAGAAGCCCAGTCTGCTTTTCAGGAGCACACGATTCATCTCGCTCATTTTCAACACTATACAGACTAAAACTTGAACAATGAAATCCTTCGTATCGAAATAAATAATTAAACTCCGGATACAATACAAACAGACCTGTGGGAGGCAATTTCAGTTTGCCGGGGGGGGGGGGCACAACCATATGTTATCAGTTGAGGGCACCATCAATTGCCAAACACTCCTTGACAAGCAGACAAAAGGTCATTAAACGTTTTTATTGAGGAGACACGAACATATAGTAGATATGGTTTCTATAGTTTATTATTTGTCGGCAAAATTAGGGGGGGGGGGGGGGCTACGGCCATGATAAATGAAAAATTATCGAATATAGATAAAACTTTTTATAATACAGATAAGAAATTTTACAATGCAAATGGGAAATACTGTATAGTATGCAAATGAATCATTATATAATTCAAATAGGTTTTTTTAAATGCAAATGGAAATTTATAAAATACAAATAAAAATTATATCATACAATGGAAAAGATCGAATATTGCAATGTTTGACATATGATATACATTGCATTTTCAATAATTATGTTCAAAACCTTTTTTAGGTGGCAATGTTTCATAACAGTGAGGAAGAGAATACGTCATGCTTAGAAGAAATGAGGAAGTTTTCTTCATTCTCTCTAGAAACAGAAATTAAAACTATCAATCATAAAAAATTCAAAGAAAGGTTAAAAAAGCTTGAACAAGACATTGAATATGGATATGGCACTATTGAAGAAACTATTTGTGTTCATAATTTTGTTTCGTACCTATATTGGACGTGCGATGAGGAGGAAAAGGCAATGGAGTTAGCCATCAAAGCCCTTGAACTTGGAAGTAAGTGTATAGTAACGTTTACATCCACAGGAGCAAGAGACAATATTATAACCCTGTGTAATCTGTTTCACTTTCACAAAGAAAATGGTGACGTAGCTGAGTCAAGAAAATTTATTGAACGGTTTCAAGAATTATCCAAACGAGATGATTTCCAGGAACTGAAATATATTGCAAAAGCTGAGCTAGCTGTCTGTATGTCAAAGCTCGGTCCATTTTATTTAACAAAATCCATAAAAATGTTTCGCAAATCTGTTGACAACATGTCTACATTTGTAGATTGCTGGCAGTTTCATTTTGCATTAACACTTAATAGAAAAGCACATCTACTTAATATTCAAAATAAAAATGACACGCAGGGTGTAGACGACGATAAAGAGGCCTATGAAAAATTTAAGAAAATTATTGAATGCACTTTTTTCAAAAATCCTGAAGTCAAACTCATTGTGTGAAGTCGGATTTATATTATATAATCATCATAATGAAAAAGACAAATATGAAAATACATGGAATACTTTGAAGAGGCTATAGAAATCAACCCACAGTCATATCATGCCTTAGAGCGATACGGACAGGTCTTGAGATATCAGAAGAACTTGCAGAAATCAAAAGAAATACTTGAACGATCTCTGAAAGTTCGGTAAACTCGAGCTGCCTATCATCATCTTGGACTAACTTTTCAAAAAATGGTCTTACAAGAACATTACGAAAGGAAGAAGACAAAGCGTTCCCAATTGGAAAACATGTCAAGACAAGATTCCACAAAGGTTGATGGTCTAGGTTTGAGGAGTGGCAGCAGTGATAAAACAAAGACGATCAGAGATTCCGCACAAATAAGAGCAAAAATGAAGTCTTGTCGATATGTTTTGTTGTATCCAGGAGATGAACGTCTGCTGAATGCTGAACAAAATCTAGAAAAAGCTCTACTTATGGACATATCTTTTGATAAAGCACGATATGACTTAGGACTCGTTCAAAGATCGCTTGGAAAACCTAATGAAGCTCTCAAAAAATTTAGGTACATAACAAATAGTTACAAAGGGAAATCAAGTAGCCAAATTCAATTGATTCTTGCATATGAGCAACAGGCATTCTGTAAATTAGATCTCTTTAAAACCAGTGACAACGAAAACGATATAATCGATGCAGTGGATGCCTTAAACAGAGCTTTGGATATTTTGACCCTGTATGTAGACTCTTTCCCAGAACTTAAAAGTGCTTGTACTTGTGTCCAAGTAATAGAAGAAATTAAGAAGAAATATGAATGTTGCAACTTGGGAAAAGAAAACAGTAATGACATCCACGACTTTGCTTCATTGTACGAAAGTGTGAGCCTAAAACTGTAGTTGTTTATCAAAAGATGGTTGAAAGTTTAAAAGCTGCTGGTGATTATGAAAATGCCATCGGTATATTAAATAGACTCATTATAGATAAAGACCCCAACACCCCACCAAGACAATTCATATTTCAAATGTATTCTGATGCAGCCTTGCATTCGATAGAGAAAAGAAAGATTGAGGAAACAAAGATGAGACTCTTACAATGCCAGAAATGCATTCCAACGTGGGAGAATCATAGCAAATGCATTGAGGAAGATGATGTACTTGATTTCTACATTCTGCACCATTGTGAAGAAAGATGTCCGCTTGCAGAGAAGTTAGTTCGTTTACTGACACAGTCATTTTTCGTAAAATTCAATGTTACATTGAATGCGGATGACTGCTTGCCAGGACGTACGATTTCAAAATATTACAAAGAAACAATCAAAAGAGCAAACTTAATATTATTCTTTTATCACGAAAGTCCTTTGACGAGCGAAGACAATGATGGCATATTAATTGAAAGAATACAGGAAGAACTCAGCATGGGTTCAGAAAACAATGTCCTTAACGTTATATTAGGAGATGCAGAACAGCCTTGGCGACACCCAGCTGTCGTACTCCCGAATGACTTTGCCACTGCAGGAGAAGAAGGCAAGGAAGACGCTGAGATGCATGCCCTAGAGGGTCATCTGATACTGGATATTTTGAGGAAAACATATGAACTTCAAGCGAGTAAAAGTTTTCAGCCGGAAAGTTTTTCTTTCGAGCAAAACGTTTTCGAATGTAAGATTTTTCTAAAAACGTTAACGTTTTACTTTTTTTACCTTTGGCTACAGATGAGTTTCAAATATTGGTTTTAATAGTCTTTTCAATTGAAAATGTTATGCTTCATGGATAATCAAATACTGATATTTGTTGCATAATTCAATCTAACAGTATTTGATTCCGGTATACTTATTTATAAATACATGCAATTATTGCAGCCGAAGATTAACGCAAGAAATCGTATACATATGAATGATTATTTTTTTCTCTTGAATATTTTATTTTAAACATTTCATTTGCAAAATTTTAGATCGAAATTTAGACGAAAATATGAGTTTAAAAAACATTCGTAACTTAATTTTTAAGTAAGTTTTAATGTAACTGAGATTTTTTTTTCAGGAAAGGAATGATGCCTCAAATTAAGCAGACTTCCAATAATGAGTTGTGATTTTTTTATTTTTAAAATTGGACTATTTGGAGATAAGAATAATCTAATATCATTTGGTTATGCGAATGCACGTGCAAGTTAGAAATTTTTGCAGAAGGCAAAAATACACAAAAGATCCTTTTCTACTATTCATGTTTTGAAATGCTGACCTCCAACAAGCCCAGCCACTGTGTGGGCATTTAAACGGGTTAATCTATGTGTCTGCTAATGCTTACCTTTTAAAAAATCTAAACTACGTAATGATATTTGCATGTTGTATGTTAAAATGTGGTCATGCTGTTTTTCTGGATATTTTCCTACATAGCATATGCATAACTTTAATCTTTGTTTGTGGTTTCACCTTAGCTAAAGAGAATCAATTATGAAAATACAAGCTTCAGTCAAAATCTTGATAAGTCAAGCAGACCAACTTTATGAATTCGTTTATGCGTCTAAGCCAAAAGGATTAAAGCAAACATGAAAGAGTGATTAATAAAGAATGTTTAACATTGCTTCACAAAGGTGTTGATATCTACAGTTAAGAGATGAGATCAATAATTGATGGATGGAAATAAAAATGTGGTCATCCCAACACTAGTTCGTGTTTCTTTTGCTTTGTTAAGCTGAATTAAAGCATAACATAAAATTATTTAGTCCATTTAAAAAAATTGCTTGCCCTCTATCAACTGAAGATAAAACAAATTTGATAGGTAGATATGTATGGCGTGTAAAACGTTGCTAAATTCGATAATCTTGTGATGCATATTCAAAATCTTGTGATGTATATTCAAAATTTTGTGATGTATGTTCAATACCTTGTCATGTACATGCAAAATCTTGTGATGTATAATTCAAAATCTTGTGATGTATATTCAATATCTTGTGATGTATATTCAAAATCTTGTGATGTATATTCTATCATCTTATGATGTATGTTGAATATCTTGTGATGTACAATTATGCGAAATCTTGTTATGTATATTCGAAATCTTTTGATGTATATTCTATAATCTTGTGATGTATATTCTAAAATCTTGTGATGTATATTCAAAATGTTGTGATGTATGTTCTTTATCGTGTGATGTATATTCAAAATCTTGTGATGTATATTCAAAATCTTGTGATGTATATTCAAAATCTTGTGATGTATATTCAAAATCTTGTGATGTATATTCTATAATCTTGTGATGTATGTTCGATAATCTTGTGATGTATATTCAAAATCTTGTAATGTATGTTCAATACTGTGGTTTTATCAATATTCGTTGAGCTCCAATTTTCGTGGATCTCGTTGTTGAGCAGATTCACGAATTCAAATGTTCATTGAATTACGAAATATGACATTCATTTGTATAGGCAATGCTTTTGTCCACGAAATAACGTATCCTCGAAAACGTCTGTTTTACAAAATCCACGAAAATTGATGCCAACGAAAATTGATGAAACCACAGTATCTTGTTATATATATTCAAAATCTTGTGATGCATGTTCCGATATTTTGTGATGTATATGCGAAATTTTGTGATGTATATTCAAAATCTTGTGATGTATATTCTATTATCTTGTGATGTATATTCTATTATCTTGTGATGTATATGCGAAATCCTGTGATGTATATTCGAAATCTTGTTATATATATTCTATAATCTTGTGATGCTTGTTCGATAATCTTGTGATGTATATTCAAAATCTTGTGATGTGTTTTCTACAATCTACTGATGCGTGCAATGATAACGCATTATGGGTAATATGACGCAACAGTATTTTAAGAAAGTATGGATAATTTTCATTGGTTAGAATTAAAAAAGTAGCCGGAGCGGCGGTCCTACTAAGCAGAGTAGTCGCTTGTACGATCGAGTACTTTAGTGTAAGCTAGTAAATTAATCATAATCTAATGTAATTGATCTGTTTTTTTTTTGTATGTTTTTCTACTGAAGTTTACATAATAAATATATATTTAATAAAATGTGTATGTTTTTGTGTTATTTAAAGATTTATTTCAATTACTGATTCCAGGTTACGGTTTATCGTTTGATCCTGATCCCGATCTTATTTAACTTAAAAAGTTTCTTTGTAAATGTGAAAAATATTTAGTATACGTAATGCAATTAATATAATTTTTGATAAATACAATTTTTAGTTGAAATAAGTAAGTCTAAAACAAAATAGTAGTCGAGATCGGGGTGATAATAATCTTTAATGCATTGAATCCTGGATGTTGTTTTATTGTCAAAATATCGGTAAAAAACAACAAATACTTGAGACAAATATTGCAATGTTATTTATAATAATGTTAAAAAAAGTTGTGTATACAAATAAACAATCCAGTTGTATTAAATTAGACAATCTTTAAGCGTACTCTAAAGTATTATATCGTGCTCTAGCGTACTCTATTTAGTAGAACCGCCGCTCTGGCTACTTTCATTATTTCTAACCAATGAAAATTGTCCTTACTTTTTAAGAATACTGTTGCGTCATATTACCCATAATGCGTATCATTGCACGCATCACTAGATTGTGGAACACACATCACAAGAATTTGAATATACATCACAAGATTATAGAATATATATAACAAGATTTCGAATACATCACAAGATTTCGCATATACATCACAAGATTATCTAACATACATCACAAGATAATAGAATATACATCACAAGATTTTGAATATGCATCACAAGATATTGAATACCGGTATACATCACTAGATTTTGAATATACATCACAAGATTTTGAATATACATCACAAGATTTTGAATAAACATCACAAGATTTAGAACATACATCACAAGATTTTGAATATACATCACTATAGATTTTGAAAATACGTCACAAAATTATCGAATTTAGCAACGTTTTACACGCCTAGTTATGTTAGGGGAATTTTTTGTTTTCAAAAACACTTGTGAATATGAAGTAAAAATAATTATAAATTAGATGAAAACATTTTAGAGTGAATTAAAGAAAACTTCCTTTTCTCAAGATAAACAAAAGTTTCGATCAGAGCAGTTTTTATCAGTAGGTCGGGAGATGGCATACAAAACATTTTTTTATTATGGTGTTATAGTGACTAACCTTGAAGCCCATTCTCTGTGTTGAAGTTTTTGTTCGATATTGATTTCTCGGTTAACCTTTACTTAATGTATCTTGTACTTTTATATACGATATCTTTAATTGAATAAAACTTTTTTAATATATAAATTTCAAGGAAATGTATCTATCGAATAAGGATTAAACAAGCTACACGTCATATGAATGTTCATTTAAATTTAATTTAATGAAGTTTGTTCAAATGCCGGCATTCATCTTATACTTTGAGTACTTTTTAAAAATAAATATATTTGGACACCTTAATTTGGTCCCATATTCTTTTCATTTGTTCACTTTTTAGTCCAGTGTTGTATCGAGAGACTTCCCTAATGGTGAAACTTCTTGTCGGAAAACCACAGGCACCTGAAGTATGGATAATACCCCCCCCCCCTTTTTTTCAATGAAAAAGAATGTGAGAGTGTATAATACCTCAAAAAAATATAATTTCCCCGTCAAACACATCTATATGTCGTTATATGCAAGCAGATTGTACTTTTTCTCACGTTTAAATCAAAGTACTCAGAAGTACTGAAAGCCGGGCTCATTTACAGGGTAATGAACAATGACCGTGGTGACAGTTTAAAATCAAGTTCAGACGTTTAGAGGATACATGTACGTTACACAAAAAAAATATCTCAATGGCATGTATAGTATTAAAAAGTTTTAAAATTAAATAAAATATAGCTAGAAATTAACAGCGTAAAATATTTATCACATGTATCGTTTCAGGGTAACCCCGGTTTTATATACAAACAGAAGTAAATAAACACCGATGCAGCAAGATTAATTAAGGTCAAACGACTCTGCACTGACGCGTCCTCAGCGGGGAGTTTTGCATCAGTCATTAATGGTGTTCCCTTCATTTGTGTTAGCCTGATACTACAACCTTTATTTATAGAATATGACGCAGACAGGGATACCTGGTGAAAACCTTTCGCACCTTTTGAATTGCTTTGTAACATATAAGTCAAAGGAGCCAGAAAAAATATGAAACAATTTAATATTTTGATAAAAATATTCGATTTACTATTTCTTAAAGTGTTTGAATGGATTTTGTTTTCTCAACAGCGGCTGGGCGTACGTACTATATTTTTACTCGTAAACTCAATTTGGCGGTGAAGAAGCAGCATTTTTGATGCTCACCGTCGCAATAGCCGGGCATTGCTCTACGAGCAATGAGCCCGGCTAAAAATGGCCCTATTCGATATAATAAAAATACACAAGGTAAGAAACAAAAGTTGTAAACAAACGGGGGGTGTCCCGTTTCGAAACAGATTTCCAAGGTAATAACAGTGCACAGGAGTTCGCGTACTTATCAAATTTGCCGAAATTTTCGGTAAATAAAAAAGATACGTAATACTAATAATAATAACACAAGGAGTGCAATCGTTGTCCGCGACGCCATGACGTGACGTCACGGGCGGTCCATTTACCCAAAAGGAACAAAAAAAAATCATACACAATTAACTAGAGATAACGATATTACGTTTAGATACGACTACAAGTACTTGTACCTCCCCGTTTTAAAATTTTCTTGAATGTCTACTAACTTGTCTCTGGTTTCTTTTCGCATATGACCTCAATCATCTATTAGCATTTCAGGCAGTTTTGTTTCTTTTTGGGTAAATGGACGCGCCTGTGACGTCACGTCATGGCGTCGCGGACAACAGATATTTGAGCGAAGTCGTGGAGAAACGTCACCGTTGCTGCTGTAACGTTGAAATCATATGTAATAGGAGGCATAAAGAAGGACCCCTTCCGAAAATATTGGTTTGTGTTTTATAATTTTCGATTGAATTCGACATTAAGCGAGGGGTTCCCCGGTGACCTAAAATGCGTTGTTCTCCTTGTGTTATTATTATAGGTAAAACGTATTTTTTTTAATTTACTGAAAATTTCGGTAAAATTGATAAGTACGCGAACTCCTGTGAACAGTGTTACCTATCATACTTTTGCAAGCACTCTGTCTGGGAGCTGTTCTTTTACTAGTCTCTTTAACCTAAGCCCCGCTATAAGCGTTTGCTATGCCGTAATCATACCATTTATTAATCGGATACATAAAATGTTCTCCATTGACAGCTTTGGAGGAGGTTTTGGAGTCGCTTTTCTGTTTCGCCTTATCTGATTGGTTAGATATTTAAACTATATTAAGATTTATTATACCAAATAGTGCAATTCTTAGACGTGAGAAAAAGTCAATATGCTTATATAACGACATATAGATGTGTTTGACGGGGAAGTTATATTTTTTTTTAGGTATTATACACTCTTACATTTTTTTTCATTGAAAAAAAGGGGGGGGGGTATTATCCATACTTAATGTGCCTGTGGGAAAACTGGCTATATAGTCCCTTAAGGTTACGACATAAGGTAAGGCTCGGAAAAAGTATATGCGAAGGACTGACGAGTATTTTTTTTTTATTTTCAGGTATATGTAGTCCACTTTGCATTCTGAAAATCAGCCACATGATAATGGGTGAAAATTCTCACAAAATTTCAAAATACGTATAGGTTTGCCACTACAATTGATTGGCTGGTTAAATCACATTAATAATTGATTTAGATGGAGGCAGTACCTGCATTATTTAGGACGTTAATTTGACTAAATGATAAATATTTCAACAATTTTTCTATTGCATTAAACTTTAAATATACACACGATAGAATGAATATTTAAACAATAAAATGCTTTCTTTGTTTGTTATTACTGGAAGTAACGGAAGCAACTGTTGCAGAAAAAATACATAACCCGCGTAAGCGGGTTATGTATTTTTTTTCTGCAATAGCTGCGACCGTTAATTCCAGTAATAACAAACAAAGACATTTTATTGTTTATATTTATATCTGTTTAAATAATCATTTAAAGTAGGATAAAAAAAAAGATTAATAATTGTATTAATGATGCGAACGTCTTTATACGTTTCATTGATGGAACAGCCACTGATCAAGAAATCTGTATAGGCGACATGCCGAGTGTAGTTCATGCAGGGTTTTCTTAAGAAATAAAGAAAATATTCTTTGGATGTAAATATATAATTACATGTATAACAAGCATGTACATTTGACATTTGGCTTTTTTATTGAGAGTCACAAGCATAGCTAGTAGTTCCTATGGCCATGGCTACATTGTTTTGTTTCTGGAAATATAAATAGATTGTTATGATAAACATTCCAGAGTACTATTAATAGCTTAGAGCTTCTTTCTATGGAATACTTTAAATGTCTTCTTTTGTGCGCTCTTATTTACAAAAAGTCAGTTTCGTATACTTTTGCTTAATGATATCAATCAATTGTATCTTTTCGCAATTTGCTTGCATATTTGCAAATTTGTTGAAAAAATCTTTCATTACTAGCAGTATTTTGAACCCCCATCTTTCAGCACTTAAATTAAAAATAATTCGAATATCCCTTCCTTCTTTCCTTACACAAAAATAATCGATATTTGAAGTCTTCTCTGGTATCAAGGATATATTCGTCAGTCCATATTCAGTAAGTAAAATACACTTACTTAATTTTTCTGTAACAGTTTAATAACTATATTAGTATATCTGAAATAAATATGTTACTGTAAAATGTTTCGTCTACCTTTCCTTTTACAAACATGACAAATGTGTATATATAATTTCGCATAGACTCCACTGATTGTTCTTTATCCAATGTCAAAGAAAACAAGGCGATTCAAAGTCCATTCTTTTCTTATTCAATGCAAAGAGCTGATGATAGATGTGATTGGTTGACAGATGTAACAGTTGCTTTATCCCACTCGGCACCTGACCCCACCTCTGGAGTGTCAAGCGAGAGGCCCATGTTCTTGCCCCCTATTTAAACATGATTAACAATTCGGGTTCTTTATTCTGCCTGTTAGATTGAGCATTATATGCTATTATCTCGTTTAACATCTGATGGTCGTTCAATATATAATGCAACATGTAAATCATATTAATTTAAGTTTAGCCGATAAGGAGCTCAAAAATGAAATGTGAAATTAAAGAAAAATCTGTTGTCTTACTATTGAAAAAAGGGGGCTCCAAACAGATTTTTCTAGTTTTCACCCTCAGTGAAATGTTTTGTTTGTATGGTGTTAAACGTCACTCTCGAGAATGTTCACTCTTTTCGAGATGCCACCACTTGCTGGTGAAGAGCTGCAAATTGCGTCCTAAACTCGGCTCTTACAGCCATTGGGCAATAAGGGATCTTTTTCGTGCCAGCATTTACTACTACACGAGACCTTGATTGATATGATCTCATCTGAATGACCAGACCCCCCCCCCCCCCCCCCCCCCCGGGATTCGAACAGACGACACAGGGATCAACTCCTCAACTCCATGCTCCGCGACTCTAGATCAGATGCTCTTACCACTGCGCATCGCGGGCGACCGGTGAAATATGTTAATACACGCAAATGAATGAATAATTATTTCTATTCCTATGTCGATACGATATATCCTGGTGAGCTTAAGATAAAAGATACTACAGAGTCTGACAAATGTTTCATACTTGGATATTTACTTAAAGAAGACGTTAATTGTAATCTAACAACCAATGGTAAACGTGATAAATTTAACTTTACTATCGTCAGCTTCCCTTACATATGCAGCAATATACCTTAATCACGTGCATACGGAGTTTATATATCTCAGTTAATTCGATATACAAGAGCATGCTCTATGTTTGAACAATTTCGAAAACGAGTTAAATTATTGACAAAAACTTGATGAACAAGAATATCAACAGTCTCGTTTAAAGTCATCATTTCGTAATTTCTATGGTCGATACAATGACCTTGTTAGCAAATACAATTTATCATTGAGTCAAATGCTGATTAACGTTTTTCATACTACTATAGTAAATCTTAATCCATTATTTATACACTGAATTGAAGATGGATTTCTCCGTTATTTCCCGATCATGAAAAGGAGCACACGGCGGGTGTGAATGCTCAGTCCTTCATGGCACCTTATCCCACCTCTGATGTTTTGGAGGTCCGTGTTTGCTCTGCTCCTATTTTGTATTGTTTTATGGACTTTGATATTAAATACCATTTGTTATCTCGATATCTTTTATGTTCAAATTATTCATCCATGATGATTTTTTGTTTGTGAACATCAGATGACACTATAATCATAATACAGAATTAATATTATCTCGAAAAATTATCAGTAGGTAAGGTACGTTGCGTATGATCTTAAATATGCTTGATATTTAATTTTGAATTAAATATACCTTTAGTATTTGAAATGATCATAGTGTTCGTCATAGAAAAATATATTTTTCAAACTTTGAACACAAAAATTTCTTTCAAATGAAATATTGATATTCATTTATAAATTTAATATGCCACACATAAAGTGGAAATTTAATGTGATTAATTTATAGAGCAGCATGGGTCACTAATGATTTCCTTTGTTATATATTCAGTTAAGAATTTACAAGCAATATTTTAGCATGTTTCATGGTGACAGAGCCTTATTAATATTTTTGAAATGAAAAGAAGTCAACACGGCTCTTTTGATGATCATGATCTTTAAGTGGGATCCTCGGAATGAATGAATAAGGTCTGATTTAATTGTTACTGGAGTGTATTTTTAAATTAAAATAGAATAACATCTAAAACAATCTTAATTTTAAGATGTGAATTAATAGTATGATAATTTTTTTTATTTTTTAATGGATAGAGGTATTTTCAAACATTAAAAAACAAATCAATATAGATTATTGGGATAAAACTATATTTCCTTTTAATTTAAAATCGTCTCAAAATTCCCAACGCAGGTAAAATTCTCTTTAGAATTGTGATGAAGAAAGAGGTTCCACATTGTTTCGCATAATCAATTATTTGACCTTTCTGCACAATTACAAAATTTGATTTTTCTGGCATTGAAAATTTCATTAGCTAAAAAATTAGTGAATTTTTGCTTAATTAAGTTAAGCAGATAGATCAAAGTAATCTTAAATATTCAGAAAAAAACATCAAAAGTGGAGGTACATACATGGTGTAATTTTTTAGCTATAACTAAAACGTGTCAATTTCCTGTTAGAATTGGCTCAATTTTTCTATGGAATAATTAATTACTGTAAAATCAAATATTTTCGAGGTGTCAAATTTTCGTGGTTTGTGGAAAATATATTGGTTCATGGGGATTTGATTTCGTGGTTAAAGAATTGTTCAGTAGTAATGTATGTGAAAATTGCATTTCGTGGTGGACATAAACTCGTGGGTCTCCCCATACCTTGAAAACCACGAAAATTAACCCCCCACGAACATTAGTGATTTCATAAAGCTGTGTGCAACTAGCATGGAAAAAAAGGAATCTAAAATTAAAAGCACTGTATACAGTTCAAAAGGGAAAGATTTATAATTTTCTTCTAAAAATTTTTCTGCCGAAAATATAGTTCCTGGCTTATTCCTACTTAAATGAATTTAATCGCAGTTTGTCGATGTAGTTCAATTTGTACGGTAGAATTAGATTTAATGTTAAAACTTAAAAATGATGCAGAATTTTAGAAATAAAAGTCCAGACCAAATTCTGCTCTAAAGCTCAGGATCTATCCTCCCTAAATAACATCAAGTGTATTTGGATTATAAGACAGACAGATTGCCACAGGTAGACTGCTAGCCCCCAAGGCAATTACACGTGTGCAAAATAAACCCCTCCCTCACCTGGAATTAACGACCCGGTAAAAAAAAAATCACCTCTTCTTTTTTTTTTGTTTGTTTATTATTATATTTTTTGTTGCTTAAAGTGTAGTTGTTGCTTGCTTTAATTGTTTTTGATTTCGTTTGTTTGTTTTCACGTCATAAATTAAATCTTTAAAAATTGTTCTAGGTGGTAATGTTTAATAACAATGAGAAAGAGAATTCGGCACCTTTGGAAGAAATATGGAAACTTTCTTCATTCTCTCTAGATACAGAAATTCAATCCATCAATCATCAAAAAATTGAGGAAAGATTAAAAAAGCTTGTAAAGGACATTGAGTATGGATATGACACAAATGAGGAAACTATCTGTTTTCATAATTTTGTTTCCTACCTATATTGGAAATGTGACAAAAGAAAAATAGCTATGGAGTTTGCTTCAAAGGCCCTTGAACTTGGAGAAAAGATCCAATCGCTAGGAAGAACGGACAATATAGTAACCATATGTAACTTTTATTATTTTCATAAAGGGAATGGCGATGTCGTTAAGTCCAGAAAATTTCTCAAACAATTTAATGATTTGTACAAAGGTGCTTATTTCCAAAAACTCAAATATATTGCAAAAGCAGAATTAGCCGTATGCATATCAAAGCTCGGTCCATTCTGTGCAACGAAAGCAATTGAAATGTTTCGTGAATCCGTTGGCAAAATGTCTACGTTTGTAGATTGCTGGCAGTTTTATTTTGCATTGACACTAAGAAGAAAAAAACACTTACTGACAATTCAGGACATGGCAGATGCACAATCTGTAGAGGAAGATAGGGAGGCGTTTGATATCTATATGAATGTAATTAAAACCACATCTTCCAAAAACTTAAAATCCAGATCATTGACTGAAGTTGGATTGATAGTTTACGATAATCAAGACAAATATAAAGATATGGATTATATGAAATGCTTTGAAGACGCAATAGAAGTCAACCCAATGTCATACCATGCACTTCAACGCTATGGACAACACTTGAGATATCAGAGAAATCTACAGAAATCAAAAGAAATACTTGAAAAATCTCTGACCATCCGAGAAACAACCATTGCTTATCATCATCTTGGTTTGACCTATCAAAAAATGGTTTTACTTGAACATAATGAAAAAAAGAAAGCAAGACTTTTAAATAGAAAACATTTTCCCAAACCAGAATCTTTAAAAGAGAGGAGTCGAATATCGAGACAAGAATCTTTCAAAGTGAGGGGTCATATACCAAGAAATGATTCTTTAAAAGTGGAGGGTTCTAATATGAAAAACTACCATGATAAAGAAAAAAATGTGGAAACGAGTCGAGATTCCGAACAAGTAAGGGCAAAAATGAAATCAGTTAGATATGTACCACGATATCCAGGAGATGAACGGTTGCTTAATGCTGAACGATGTTTTCAAAAAGCCTTACAATTGGTCACTTCTTTCAATCAAGCACGCTATGATTTAGGACTTGTTCAAAGAATGCTTGGAAAAAGTGACGAAGCTCTGGAGAATTTTCGGTATATAACAAACAGTTACAAAGGAAAATCCAGTGACAAACTGCAACTGATTTTTGCATATGAGCAACAAGCATTTTGTAGATTTGATCTATTTAAAACCAGTAAGGATGAAAATGATATAATTAATGCAGTAGATGCTTTAAACCGAGCTCTGGATATTTTGTCTCTATATATTGACCCTCTTCCAAAACTAAAATATGGATCTTCTTGCATCCAGGTCTTAGAAGAAACAATGAACAAATATGAATGTTTGCACTCGGGAGAAGAAAACAGAAATGAAAACTTTGCTCATTTATATGAAAAGGCAAAGGAATACAAAAAAGCATATGAGATTTACTCGAAATGTGAGACTAAATCTGCAGCTGTTTATCAAAAGATGGTTGAAAATTTGAAAGAAGCTGGAGATCATGAAAATGCTATTGGTATATTAAATAGACTAATTATAGACAAAGACCCTAATACGCCTTCTAGACCATTTTTATTTCGGATGTATATGGATGGAGCTTTGTACTCGTTAGATAAAAGGAATTATGAAGAAACAAAGATTAGGTTCCTGCAATGCAGAAAATGCATACCAGCCTGGGAAATGCGCACGGATAACTGCTACAGTGAAGATAACTTGCTAGATTTCCTCATTCTACATATTTGTGAAGAAAGATGTCCACTTGCAGAGAAGTTAGTACATGTACTGACACAGTCTTTTTTTATAAAATGGAACGTCACGAAGAATTTAGATGATTGTATAATAGGTCATGGAATTATGGAATATTACGAAGATGTTATCGCAAGAGCAAAATACGTACTACTTTTTTACCATGAAAATCATTCAGATTGTGAAGATCATAATGGTGAATTTCTTAAAATGCAACATAAGCGTCTCTGCATGGGTGCAAAAACGAACATACTGAACATTATTCTGGGTAATGCAGAACAACCATCTCATCATCCAAATATCATCCTCCCAAACGACTTTGCCACTGCAGAAGAAGATAGCAAAGAAGACCCGGGGACACATGCGTTAGAAAGTCGTCTGACAATGGATATTCTTAAGACAACATTTGCTCTCCAAGAGAGTAAGGTAACATCTCAAAAATATATTACTTGTATATAGATGTTTCGTGTTCAGTGCGTGATAAGATTCAAAAAGGTGAAGATAATAAACAGTGATCGATCTGATAAAATGTTCAAACAATAAAAAATGTGTGACAAGGCAAAAAAAAAAAAAAAAAAAAAAAAAAAAAGAACATGGAAAATCCTAGAAATGACATTAGAAAACTAAGTCTAGTAGGAGTAAGCATCGCCTTTGACCGGGGCTCTTGCATAGATTACTACTAGTAACTAGAAGTTATAAAACAGAGGCCTGGTGATCAATAAGGGCCAAAGCAAATGCACGCATTTTCTCTGCTTAATAACTTTCGTAAAATATGCAATTGTAACGTCTCAGAGAGAGAGAGAGAGAGAGAGAGAGAGAGAGAGAGAGAGAGAGAGAGAGAGAGAGAGAGAGAATGCAATTAGGTATACTCATGACCATAGTTCATGTTCACATATTTTGAATAATTTTTTGATTCCTTTAAAGTGCGATATGAAAGAACGAGTGCACTAATGGCCCCGGTAGAATGTGAAAAAATAAACAAACAAATTACGCAATTTTTTCATCTCAAATCATTAATTGATATCTAAACCATACGATTCAACAAATTAAAACGCCGAAATCCACGAATATACAACGAACAAAACTATGCAATGTGGTAGGGGTCAGCCGACATTTGTGATTTTCTATAGTAAATCGAGAACGGCCATTCATTTCAAAGCTTTTGTTAACTATGAGCCTAACGTTGTGCAAACTTGTGCGTATGACAGAAGACGCATAATACATTTATAAAACTTGTGTGAAAGTATGAAATTTGCACAGGATTAGGCTCATGCTTAAAATACTGAAAATGTATAAAAAGTACAATGTTTTTCCTATAGCAAGTGATAGCTATTTACCTGTATGACCCATGTTGAACCCACGTGTGGAATAAATTATTTAAAATACTGATATAGTCACGTGAGTTCTACCAAGGTAAACATTCCTCAAAGGTGCTCACTGTAAAACATAGGCAGGTTTTGTTTCAGTACGTCAAAGTCGTGCCGCTTCGAGATGTTTGTATGTATTTGTTTTTTAGAACACGGGAGAGTAAAGAGAGTTAGTGTGGTTCATAAAGTGTCGAACATTTTTAACCTTCATGCAAGACAATGAAACAGGTATTGAAAGCCACCTATAGCACTTCTTTTAAATTTGAAATTCAATGAAACTTTTATTGTAATTTTTCAAATGCAGGAGTACCAATTTCTTAATTCATTTTAGCTACAGGCAACTATATAACTTCATTCAATAATTTTAAAAACAGTTTTGGCGCAGGAAATATCATTCCGCAAATGCACCCGACTATGATCCACCATCCGATTGTTCACGTAACGACTTAAGTACCAATCCATATAAAAATCATGCAAAAGGTGATTCACTCAGGTTCTCAGAATTCAATGATTTTCTATACATAGATTTCTCTTGACCTATGATCCATGTATGTAAAATAAAAAATGTTTTGGATCATGGTTACTATGAAAACCTGATCAAAGTAATTTCCTTAGCAACCAGCCAATTTTTCTATTTGAACGCACTGAAAATCACTGATCTTTAAAGCCTGAAATTATATATAAAAACTTTAACAATAATTCTCATTTACTGGTGTGATAAAGACACACACTTTATTTGTTTATTACACACAAGACATTGATATTTTATCTGAAGCTAGTACTATGGTAGACATTAGAATATATGTATGTTTTTTGCTTTCTTGCTGATTCAGCATTTTCCTTGATTTTGACAATATTCAAGGTCAATTTTAAAAAGATACCAAGCTAATACAGATTTCTCATGACTTTCACATAGAAGTAGAGAACTTTCTTTTTTACAGATTGACTTTGAAAGCGTGGGTTTTTTGAAAAATCCTATTCGTTGCCTAGCAACAAAATTGAATGTTTGATAACTAAAAAGTGAAAATGGTAAAGGGTTGGGTAAAAAATCTTATGAATTTTTATCTTTTTGTGGCAGATACAATTTTTCAAGTAAGAGAAAATAACTCTCATATAATTTTAAAAGGAAAGAATAATTTATAATCATTAATTTCCATGGCAACAGGAATTTTTCCCTAGCAACAATGCAAAAACAGTTATTTTTTGGCCTTTTTGGTATAGATTTTGATAGATACGAATAGATATTTTTTCTTTAAAATGCGATTGGGCATAAATGTCAATTTAATATTGGTCTGATAAAGTTATTTTGGTACTTTATTAGACCCATGGGTACAATTTTGAACACTTAACGACCACTTTTGTATCTACAATTTACTTTTACATTCAGGCATTTTTTTCGCTAAATTTTTAGTGCTGAAATGAGATCTTCCACAAAAGACGTTATAAATGAAAAAATAAGTAGCTTCAGATACAATATCATTATGTAACAAAACATTTGTATGGATGACAAGATTCCATAATCAAATTATAATTGGGTTGCCATGGCAACTTAATGCACAATGACCAGAAAGCAAACTATCTTTGACCAAAATATTTGAAATTTTAGCTTCCATTAATAATTACTAGTAATACTTTTGCTAGCATTGCAATAAGCAAGCACACAGAAAGCTTTAAAATTCATAATTTAAGAAACTATATATTTTTATGGTTACCATGAGTACGCTTTGAAGCTAGTGTTGCTTAGCAACTGCGTAATATAACCAAATTTTGAAATGTACTAATGTTTCGGGTAAAAAAAAATATTATCATTGAAATTAATTCATCATTTAAAAATTCTTATTAAAAAAATTCTACAGCTTTACATTCTAGAAACATTTCATTGGTGTATAAATGCTTTTCTGTTAACATTTTGTTTGGTATCTGCCTGTCTGTTTGTCTGTAGACTTTTCACATTTGTATCTTCTTAAGAACCATTTCACCATAACTTTCCAGAAGCGGAGTTCAAAGTTTAACGTATGAATGTATAGAAAATGTCTTTTTATTGTTTTTAAGTCTTCTTCTTCTCGAGAACAGCAAAACCATGATTAGGCATAGAAGTATCCTCGGGTTATGGAGATTCAATGTTATTCAAATCATGACCCCTGTGGGTAGGGCAGAGCCACAACAGGTGGTTAAAGTATACAGTTGGAATATATAGGAAATACATGTATCTTAAAAAAATCTCATGGACCGCTAAGCCATAATTAGACATATAGAGAAGTATCATCAGCAGGGGCGGATACAGGATTTATGGTTAGGGGGGCGTGGATAACTTTGTTGAGGCAAGGGGTCTGGGGGCCGCCTTAAGGTCATCAGTGGGTCCAGGGCGAAGCCCTGGTGGGGGTCCAGGGGACAAAGCCCCCGGAAGCTCTTGGGTTTTCGTGTATTTAAAAGTAAAACCAGGCAAAATAATAGTGCATATTTTTCAATTATTTTTGTTAAAAGTGGCATATAGGTCCGGATGTTTGAATAATAATTGTATTGAATGTTTCTCAATTCTCATTGTGTTGTAACACATGCCACTATAATAAACGATTTACTTACTTATTACTGACTAATAGTGGTATAAGTTAGTGATGTACCAAAGTACGACGTCTTTGATACTAGTCATATCATACTTTAAATGGTGGGGGACCAGGGGGCGCAGCCCCCGGAAGCTCCTGGTTTTTTGTGTATTTTAAGAGTAAAACCAGGCAGAATAACAGTGGTTTGGTTCGTTTTGTACCAAAATGTGGTATTATAAATATAAGTCACATCACACTTTGAAAAATTTAGGGGGGGGGGGCGTGCGCCCCTACGCCCCCTTAAATCCGCCAGTGATTTTTCAAAACATTACCCCTGGGGTTGGGCACAGACACAACAGTGGCCCAAATATCTTACTTCTTCTTTAGAACAGCAAAACCATTATAAGTCATATTGATATAGAAGAATATCTAAAGATATTTGAGTAACTGTTACTTTATATACATTTTTATGCCCCCACCCCACCCCGTAAACAAATAAACGAAGTTTCGGGGGGTATATAGTTTCTTTCGTGCCCGTAGGTCTGTCTGTCTGTTTGTCCGAAATTTGCCCATAACGTTTGATTTAGTGGAGCTATGACTTTCATATTTCACATGTGTATTCCTTGTCATAAGACCTTTCTTTGGGTACCACCAAATTTGACCTTGGAGTTTGACCCGCTTTTACACAAAAATTCCAAATTTTTACTTTGGTCATATCTTTTGAACAATAGATCCCAGGACTTTTATACTTTACATATGTATTTTTTGTGACAAGACCTTTCATTGAGTACCAACAACTTTGACCTTTTGACCTTGGAGATTTCCGTACTTATGAAAAAACTTGAACCTTGGCCATAACGTTTGGACAGTAAGGGCTTTCATACTTCACATAAATGTATGTTATCCTTGTGATAAGGCGCCTCACTGGATATCAAGTACTTTGACCCTTTGACCTTGGAGTTTGACCTACTTTTTAAATACAACTTTGAACATAATTTTTGAAAGGTAAGAACAAAGGCTTTCATATATTCAGTATTCATACATGTATCTTGTGACAAGACCTATAATTTGATATCAAGATCCTTGACCTTGGAGTTTGACCCTATTTTACACAAAAAATCCAAACTTTTAATTTGGCTCTAATTTTTAAACGGTAGATACATGTACTTAAAATTTCATATTTCAAATATCAATTCTTTGTGGCAACATCTTTCATTTTAAACCAACAATTTTCACCTTTTGACTTTTACCTTGGACATTTCCATACTTACGAAAAAACTTTGGACATAACTTTTGAACAGTAAGGGCTAGGTCTTTCATGATTTACATATGTAATTCTTGTAACATGACCTTTTATTAGATATCAACAACTTTGACCTTGGACTTGGATTTTGACCTACTTTTTACAAACTTTAACCTTGGGCATAACTTATGAACAGTAGGGGCTAGAGCTTTCATTCTTCACATATGTAATCCTTGTGACAAGACCTTTCATCAAATATAAATATATTTGACCTTGACCTTGGAGTTTGACCTACTTTTTACAAACTTTAACCTTGGCCATAACTTTTGAACGGTAAGGGCCAGCACTTTCATACTTCCGATACATGTAATCTTTGGAACATGG